TTGGCGGCGGCCTACACCTTCCTCCAGAAGAACCCCAAGCACGAGCTGACCTCCAAGTATCTCAGCTACTACCGGGGGATGCTGGATGCGGCCGAGGAGCCCCTCACCGACTTGGAGGCGCAGCCCTACGAGGTGGAGGGGGAGGGCTGGCCCTGAAGCTCCTCCCCAACCCCCCCCCCAGGACTTGGGGAGGAGGGGAGTGTGTGGGGGGCACCCCTGACCCTCACCTCGCTCCCCTCCAGGCCGTGTTCCTCCGGGCGGTGAAGCTCTACAACAGCGGGGACTTCCGCAGCAGCACCGAGGACATGGAGCGGGCCCTGGCCGAGTACCTGGCTACCTTTGCACGGTGTCTGGCTGGCTGCGAGGGGGCCCACGAGCAGGTGGACTTCAAGGACTTCTACCCTGCCATAGCAGGTACCCCCTCCCAAACCCATGGGCGTCCTTCCCAGCCGCCGCTGGGCCCAGAACAACTCAGACCCCTGAACACATTCATGGAGCCCCTACTCCGTGCTGGGGAGGTGGTCAGTGTTATATCCTGTCCCTGGGAGTGTGGAGTGTGCTGCCAGCTGAGAGAGGCGGACAGGGTAAGGGGTCCCCTGCCGCTGGGTGCCGAAGGGCTGCAGTCTGGAGCGCCCAAGGTGCTGGGCGCCGGTGGAGGGAGGCGGTGACATCCCAGGAGGGTCTGGGATGGGGGTCACAGGCTTTCCAGGTAGAGGTCAATGCAGGTGCAAAGGTGTCCCCGCCGAGATGGGAAACAGCCCCACACGGATGTCCCAAAAGCAGTTTGTGGCCAGAAATCACACCGAGTCTGAAGTCCCTAACTGCAGGGGTCCCTCAGGGCTGTCCTGGGCTTTTCAATCGGGGCGTCAGGACTGCTTCCACACCTCACCTGCCACTCTCCCAGAGAGCCAAGCGGTGGGCGGTAAGTCCGCCCTGGCCACAGTCGTCTCCCTCAGCATTGCATTGCTTATCCGCCACCTCTCACGTGGCTGCAGCAGGCTCTGCAGGCAGAGCTGGGGCGGGCGGGCGTCCTCTCCATCACCCGCTCCGGGAAGGAGCTGTTCAGCACACCCCCAGCTTCTCACCCCTGCTTCCCCCCACCCCACCCCGCCACCCAGATATTTTTGCAGAATCTCTGCAGTGCAAGGTGGACTGTGAGGCCAACTTGACCCCCAACGTGGGTGGCTACTTCGTGGAGAAGTTCGTGGCCACCATGTATCACTACCTGCAGTTTGCCTACTACAAGCGTGAGCCTCCTGTGGGCTTGGGGGAGGGGGGGGAGTGGAGAGCACTGC